TCAAAAAAAAAAAAAAAAAAAAAACCACACACACATCTAGAGGGACTTCCCTCGTGGTCCAGTGGGTAAGACTCCGCGCTCCCACTGCAGGGGGCCCAGATTTGAATCCCTGGTCAGGGAACTAGATCCTGCATGCATGCCACAACTAAGAAGTCCACATGCCGCAACTAAAGATTCTACATGCCGCAACGAAGATCCCACGTGCCACAACTAAAACCCAGTGCAGCCAAAATAAATAAATAAATATTAAAACACACATACAGGGCTTCCCTGGTGGCGCAGTGGTTGAGAGTCCGCCTGCCGATGCAGGGGACACGGGTTCATGCCCCGGTCCGGGAAGATCCCACATGCCGCGGAGCAGCTGGGCCCGTGAGCCATGGCCGCTGAGCCTGCGCGTCCGGAGCCTGTGCTCCGCAACGGGAGAGGCCACAACAGGGAGAGGCCCCCGTACCGCAAAAAAAAAAAAAAAGACACACACACACACACACACCCTTAGAACATAAGACAGTCTCTAATTCCAACAAGTTACTGGTCTCCTCAACTGCAAAAATGGGTGGGACCACCTCCTAGGTCCTATCAGTGCTAAGTCTGTGATTTACTAGGGTTTCCCATTTTCATCATGTATTCTCAATGAGTCCTAGCTTTTCCAAATGTAAAATGAAAGCAGCAATCCTCATCCCAATTACCTCTAAACATGTTATAAGAAATAAGTGTTAACGTACTTTTAAACTGTAAAGCAGTATACTCCATATGATTTAATTATTAAGGTATTTTTAAATGGCTTCAGATAAGCCTTGGGCCAAATCACGTCTTCTGAAAAAAGCCACATAGTATAAAAAGTTGATTACTATGAGTTCAGCCTATGAGGAAAGCACTATAAAGATGGTTCTGTTGATTTGTTTGCTAAAATAAGTTACTACATACAGTTAGTAAGAGTTGTAATTTACACTACCTCTATGAAAGGTTAATTGAAATGTTAATAAAATGTCCAAAAAAGTATTCTTCAAGCCACACATACTATAAAAGTAACAGTGGTTAGGAATCTTCTTATGGCAGCATCTGAATTTTTCGATTGGCATTCCAATGCCAGGTGAACTGAGAAGGGAATGGGTGCTGACTGCTCACCTTATCTTGTAAGGTAAAGGTCCCAGGAATACCAGCAAAGAGAAACTTGTTCTTGACTTTCAACTTCCCCAAATTCGCTACAATCAGATTATTTGATCTGGAACTTTCTGGGATAAGAAGAACAGGAGCACCAGCCTCAATATCCAGGAGAACCCGTGAACAACGCTGGGCTTGATCTCTCACCTGAAACAAGAAGGAAAATTGGGTTAGAGGTTCAATTAATTCCCTAATTTTATAATCAAATCATCTCAAGTTTCCAAAAGTTTCATGAATTTATAAATCTAAAACAATTAAAATCACACAGAATATATTCTATGAACACCAAGGAGTTAAATTAGAAATCAGTAACAAGAAGATAATGGAACACCCCCAAATATCTGGAAATTAGACTATACACTTCTAAATAACCCATGGGTCACAGAAGAAATCACAAGAGAAATTTAAAAAATATTTTGACCTTACTGATAAAGAAAACACAGCACATTAAAATTCAGGGTTTCCCTGGTGGCGTAGTGGTTGAGAGTCCGCCTGCCGATGCAGGGGACACGGGTTCGTGCCCCGGTCCGGGAAGATCCCACATGCCGCGGAGAGGCTGGGCCCGTGAGCCATGGCCGCTGAGCCTGCGCGTCCGGAGCCTGTGCTCCACAACGGGAGAGGCCACAACAGTGAGAGGCCCCCGTACCGCAAAAAAAAAAAAAATTCATGGAATGCACTTAAAAAGGTACTTAAAGAAAAATGTTTAGCATTAAATACTTATTTTATATTAAAGATTTAAAATCAATAAAGCTTCCAGCTTAAGAAGGTAGAAAAGCAAAATCAACCTAAGTAAGGAGAAGGAAGACAAAGATAAAGAGCAGAAACCAGTTATTTAGAAAACAGATAAACAACAGAGAAAAATCAATTAAACATTTACAGAACACTCTACCCAACAACCATTTTACATTCTTTTCAAGTGCACACGGCATGCTTGTTAACAGTATGCATGGGCCTAACACAGGCCTCCATAAGTTGATTGAAAGTATAAGACTCTACCTATATTAATCAAGAAAAAAGGAAGGAAACAAAAATCACCACTATCAGGGGAAGAGTCAGGGACACTGCTAGAGAACTTAATATTAAAAAGATGTGGGAACCTATGAACAAGTTCATGCCAACAAATTGACAATTCAGACGAAGTAGACAGAGAACTTAAAAACACACGCAAACTATCTAGAGCTAACATCACATACGTAACATCTGTGAAAGACAATGTTTTCCCTCTAAGATAAGGAACAAAGCATGGATACCCACTCTCACCACTTCTATTCAACACTGTAGTGGAAGTCCTAGTCCACACAAAAAGGTATACAGGTTGGAAAGGAAAAAAGAAAACTCTCTTATTCACAGACAACATAATAATCTACGTAGAAAACCCTAAAGAATCTAAAGGAACTACAATAAGTAAGTTTAGCAAGATTGTAGGATATGAGGTCAACATGTCAGTATATGAGTCAATTATATTTCTCAAACTTTCAATCAACAATTGTACACTGAAATTTTTATTGATACAATTTACAATAGCATCGAAATTGTGAAACACCTAGGGATAAATTTAACAAAAGATGTGTAAGAATGGTATACCCAGAACTACGAAACACTGCTGAGAGAAACTGAAGATCTAATTAAATGGAGGGATATACCATACTCAAGGATCCAAAGACTCAATATTGTTAAGATGTCAATTCTCCAGATATATGGATTCAAGGCAATCCCAATCAAATCCTAGCTGACTTTACTGTAGAAACAGACAAGCTGATTCTAAAATTTATAGAGAAAAACAAAGGACCTATAATAGCCAATACATCTTTGAAACAAGTTGGAGGACTTACATTATCTGATTTCAAGACATATCATAAAGCAAGAGCAATCAAGACAGGGTGGTATACAATTAAATATAAATCAATGGAACAGAATAGAGAATAAGGAAATACACGCATACATTCTCAACAGAAGTGTCAAGGTAATTCAATGGGAAAAGAATAGTCTGAATACATATATGGAAAAAAAATCTCAACCCTTACTTCACAAAATACACAAAAATTAACTCAAAATGGAAGAGGTCTAAAATTATAACACTTCTAAAAGAGGAAATAGGAGAAATTTTTTGCCACCTAGTGGTAAGCAGATTTCTTTCACAAAACACACAGCACTAACCTAAAAGGAAAAAATTGGACTTCATCAAAATGAAAGACTTCTGGGACTTCCCTGGTGGTTCAGTGGTTAAGAATCCGCCTGCCAATGAAGGAAACACGGGTTCGAGCCCTGCTCCGGGAAGATCCCACATGCCGCGGAGCAACTAAGCCCGTGCACCACAACTACTGAGCCTGTGCTCTAGAGCCCGCGAGCCACAACTACTGAAGCCCGTGTGCCTAGAGCCCATGCTCCACAACAAGAGAAGCAATCGCAATGAGAAGCCCGTGCACCGCAACAAAGAGTAGCCCCCATTCGCCGCAGCTAGAGAAAGCCCGTGCACAGCAACGAAGCCCCAACGCAGCCAAAAAATAAATAAATTTAAAGAGAAATTAAAAAAAAAAAAAAAAATGAAAGACTCCTGCTTTTCAAAAAATAGTATTAAGAAAATGGGAAAAGGTCCAGTGGGTAAGGCTCCATGCTCCCAATGCACAGGGCCTGGGTTCGACCCCTGGCCAGGGAACTAGATCCCGCATGCATGCCGCAATTAAGAGTTCGCATGCTGCAACTAAGAAGCCCGCATGCTGCAACTAAAACAAAGATCCTGCATGTCACAACGAAGATCCTGCATGCTACAACTAAGACCCAGCGCAGCCAAAACTAAAAAAAATTTTTTAAATGGGGAAAAAACCTATAGACTAGGAGAAAATATCTGTAATACATATACCAAAAGTCTTATATCCAGAATATATAACGGAAGAAATAATGTCAATTCTACACAAACTATTCTGAAAATAGAATAGGGAACACTTCCCAATTCATACTACAAGGACAGCACTGACCAGTTACCAAAACCAGAAAAAAGGCAATCTTTCCTTTTTAAGAAAAGAAAACAACAAACTAATATCCCTCAGGAGCATAGATACAAAATCCATAAGATATTGGAGCAAATCGAGAAAACTATAAAAGCATCCACAGGGCTTCCCTGGTGGCGCAGTGGTTGAGAGTCCACCTGCCGATGCAGGGGACACGGGTTCGTGCCCCGGTCCGGGAAGATCCCACATGCCGCGGAGCGGCTGGGCCCGTGAGCCATGGCCGCTGAGCCTGCGCGTCCAGAGCCTGTGCTCCACAACGGGAAAGGCCACAACAGTGAGAGGCCCGCGTATCGGGAAAAAAAAAAAAAAAAAAAAAAAAAAAAAAAAAAAAAAAGAAGCATCCACAGACAATAAGGAAGCGAATGAACATGGCTGTATTCTGTTGTAATAGCAAGTTGGCCAGGGGCTACCAGGATGCAGGGATTAGCGCTGGGAGACAATTAGCAAATGGATACAAGCAACTTTAATGCCGTTTTTATAAAGGTCAAACAAGCAAAACAAAAGATACTGTATACAAAGTTTTCTTTTAATTTTAAAGGGACCAGTCGACCCAAAAATCAGGAGAGGGGTTACCTGAGGCATTAACAGAATGAGATAGGGAAGGACCACATGCAACAGTCTTAGTAATGTTTTAATTTTTATTTTGGTGGTGGGTTCATAGATGTTCCTTCTACTATCACACTTTGTAATTTATAAACATGCTACAGATATTCTTTATATGTATCAAATACTAAATTGTTTTTTTTTAAGCTTCTAAAGAGAGAAAAAAAGGTTACATACTCCGTAATTATAACGATGGAAACATGTATAGGGAAAAAAGAACATAAAACATACCTATGGTGCTAGAAAACGGATAAGATATCTTTTCCAGATTCCCTATAATTTGATTGTACTTTTATATTTAAAAACAAATACCTTCTCTATAACATACACAGGAAACCAGTAACACTGATTGTTGCCAAGGACAGAAATTGGGTGGCTGAGAAAAGGAACTGAGAAAGAGACTTTTCTCCAAATGTCCTTTTTTACTTTGATTCTGCACTAAAACAATATACAACATATTCAAAATTTCTTAATTTAAACTAAAACATAAAATTTTTAAGTGTTGCCATTGTAAAGACTTAAATTTTTATCTTTCACCTAATAAAGCTTAAAAATAAATAAATAACAAGTTTTACAAAGAACTACACTGTAATTGTTTTCTGTGGTTCCCAAACTGTGTGCCAAGACACCACAGGAGGCTGCCTCACACTCACAGGTGCACTGCCAGGACATTTTAAATCTTTGAGGGAAACACATCATCTGTTAGACACTGCACAAACTACTAACTTGAGATGGTTTACACTCAATGTTAGATCATGCTACATTCCTTTCAATGATGTCACATCTTTGCAAAGCTGGGTCTTAAGCAGTTGCTGCTATAAAAAGCAAGTACCATGAGAAAATAAATGTGGAAAAGGAAATGAGGGCTGTGATGTTCAACCTGATTCCAAGTGTGAGAAACTGTTCAGTGCCCAAGAGGCACATACATCCTTCCTACTAGGAAGGAATTACGGTTATTTAAAAATGAAATAAAAATCTCATTTTTCACTTACGTGTTTTTTTTTTCTAACAGCTACTAAGCTGTTGGACATATATACTTATTAAGCTGTTTAGACTTCATTACTTAGGAAATGGAAAGACCATTAGGTGTTTCTTTTGGCCTAGGACGTATCACGGGAAAACTTCTAAGACATTAAAGGGAGCCATGAACTAAGAAGTTGGAGAACTATATCTGAAAAAAATCCTCTTTCTATAATACAATAGATACGTTCTTTGGGACCATTTTCCAGCAGAAGTAACCCCACTGAAGTTCTAAAAGGGACCTGAAGTCTTTAGTGTTATCCATAAACTTAGTTTATCTTTTTTAGAGCAAGCTAAAGCTAAACTTCAAAGAAAATTAAAACACGATATGATGAATAAGGAATATAAGCTCTCCGATTACAGTAAGATTTCTGTAGATAATCAGCTACCTGGAAGACAGTAGTAAGCTTAAGATTACCTAATTAGCTTCACCTTTTTCAGTGAAATTTTCCAGATTTACCTCTAGAGATTTAAAAGTTCTACTGATCAGTCAAACTGGAAAAGCATCTTGGATCAATGACACTACCTACCGTCTGCCCCTCAATGGCAGCTCGCTGGCGCCCTAACACGTCCTGCAGCTGAGTGAAGTGCTGGATGAAGGCCACCACCTCCGCCTGGAAGCGCTGGGTGTGCACATACTGCACGGAGGCCATCTGGAGGCTCACTCGAATGTCGTACTCCCTCCGGAGCAGCGGGTCGGGCCGGCCATATCTAGGAGGAAGGGCAAAAATGTGACTCAGACAGCAGCAAGATGCAAATTAGTATTTGAAGAAAACTTGGGTTGACTTACGGGTTTCCCTAGAAAACAGCTTTATTAAAATGGAAATCCACCAATCAAGTTTTAGAAAGCAAACTCCAATAATTACTTCCTTTCTAAGCTCCCGCCATGTGTTGAGGATGTTAAATAAAAGTCTGGCATGATGGCCAGAGCTATAAACAGGGGGACAGCTCTGGGTGCTGAACCCACTCACGACTCCAGAACTCACTCAGAAGCCACCTGTGGTTCAGACCTTTCCCCTGAGGCTCTTTTTCCCTGCCTTTAAGGAAAAGTGACTATTCCTGCTCACTCTTCTAGCAAAGACTGTGACAATATGGGCTTGAAAGGTAATAAAAATAAGACCACAAAACAATTGGTAAAGAAAATTAGGCAACAGAACCAAAGTTTCTGGGGCAACCTGTCTTCTGGAAGCTGAAAGAAGTCTTTTTGTTTCAGTGAAATGCAAGCTCAAGACTTTCAGCATCTACATTCACAGATAAATTAGGAAACTTTTACAAATGGTTTTACATGTAATGGAACATGACGCCATAACAATAAATTATTATACAGGACACAGTCACTGGGGAAAAGAACTCGTATTACGTGAGCACCTGTTTTGTGCCAGGCAGAGAGTTAAGAGCTTTACATTAATTATCTCATTTATTAGAGAACCATGCCACTGTGGTAGGTAACACTGCAAACAAATCAATCTAAATTCTCAGAACAGTATGATATACTTCCTCTGGAAAGGAAAGAAAAAGTTCTCAGACATCTTTAGGGACCATTTTTCTCAACTCTGGTTGAACATTAAAATCACTCCGGCAGGACTTCCCTGGTGGTCCAGTGGTTAAGACTCCGTGCTTCCAGTGCAGGGGGCGCGGGTTTGATCCCTGGTCAGGGAATTAAGATCCCACATGCTGTGTGGCGCGGCCAAAAATTTTAAAAACTCACTTCGGCAAGTTTAAAAGAAAAAGAATACTACCGCAGACCAGAATATTTGGGAGCAGAGCTGGATACCTATCTTTTCTAACCGTTCCCTGAGAGGTTGAAAAACCAGCCTTTTAAACTTTCTGCTTTCTGAGAAAACCATTCTTTAATAACTACATAGGCTAAAAAGGCCTTCTAAGTTCTAAAATTGAATATGGATTATGTTTGTACTGGGAAAAATGCGTAATGTAATTTAAAACCCGTATCTTCAACAACTTTCTCAGGCTGAAATCATTCCAGAACATTCAGAGCTAGATGGAAATTGATCTAACAGAGTCCCCTCAATATTTCTATAGAAAAACTGATGCATGGAGATTAAGTGACTTGCTCAAAGTCACATAACAAGTTGGTGTGAAACCAGACTAATAATAATCACAATTATTTCAATCATACCCCATTTATTTATTAAGCCTGAGTCGCCCACTTCAAGGCAGATCCATTGCATTGGATATATATAAATCAAGATTCCCCATAACTAGATCAAATCAATTTTACGTAAGATGTTACAATTTTTTAAAACTTTTCTTCATTGTTTAGCTGACAAGAATTTGAAACAACAAGCAATTATGACAAAATGTTAAGTGAGAAAAGATCGGTGTTTTTACTTGAAAGTCTGGAAGATGAGTGCTTCTTCCCCACTTGTAGTGAACCGTTCTCTATAGAACTCTCCATGGGATGTAAGGTCACTCAGAGACAGGCTCCCAATGCTTCCCTGTAAGGCCAGGTCTCCTTCTAGGAATGTTAAAAATTAGAACACATTCTTATGTATCTTTTTTCTGTCACACACCTTAAATTTGCCTGAAACAAAAATTGATACACACATGCTTCAGACTTTACACCATTTAATAAAACAAAATTCAAATTTTCATACTCCTATACACCCAGAAAAATATTTTATGCACTATTGCAAATAGTCTCAATGCAGAAGTCCAAAGGGACTGAAATAATACTGCAGCATCACACTTTAACACTTACAAGGGGAAAAAAATTAAATGCATACACAATTTAAAGGATAAAACATTTACAAATACAGATAAAAACGTGATCTCTTCTGAGATCAGACCACTAATTAGAATTAGTGAAATATCATAAGGTCTATTTTGTACTACAGACAAAAGAATAAAGGAGGGGCTTCCCTGGTGGCAGAGTGGTTGAGAGTCGGCCTGCCGATGCAGGGGACACGGGTTCGTGCCCCGGTCCGGGAAGATCCCACATGCCGCGGAGCGGCTGGGCACGTGAGCCATGGCCGCTGAGCCTGCGCGTCCGGAGCCTGTGCTCCGCAACGGGAGAGGCCACAGCAGTGAGAGGCCCGCGTACCGCAAAAAAA